AAACATTAAGAGCCTAAACAATTTAACACATGTGAGGAGATAGGGGTGCCTATCGCCATTAGTCAAGATAGTTGTCGTCCACTCATTGGATTTAGGTCTGTGGTGGCCTCGCAGGTTAGAGAAGGGCGCCGGGGTGTCTGGTCCGACCGTCCAGAACCTACATAGAATGTCATACGCACACACACACAAATAACAGACACTAGCAAATAACAGCTCCCATCAAGGCTGAAGAGAGTCTGAGCTCCTTATTATCAGTTAAGTATACCAAAACATAATGCTAAAACATTCACTCGTTTGGGAGAAAAACAGATAACTGACATTTACTCCCAAGGAAGGAAATACACTGGAAAGAATACATTTTAATACAACAATTCAAGTTTGATAGTAACGCTCAATATAGCTTGACCATATGTCCAGCGAAGAATCATATGTGCCCACGCTGCCTTTAGGACCCTCTAACCTTTCTACTGATCCCAGAGAAAGAGACAAACGGCCTTGTGGGTTACGTGGCCTTCGTGTCCTGCGTGTACTACGTGCAATCTCAAAGTAAGATTGGAATGCACCTAAAAGAAACTGGTTACTTGCATCCATGCATTTAAGAAAATATAATTTCACAAGCACAAGAATATAAAAATTATTATGTGATAATGAATATATTTGATTATTGATTTTTATAAAGGAAGTATATAACCATTCAAAATGATATATGATTATATATGTATTTAAAGAGGCAAGGGATTTTGACCAACCCTTCAACATTAATAATTACATGACAATTTGTAATATGCTTCTTATTATTAGTATGATTTGTATTATTAATGACGCTTATTGTTATTTAGAAGAAGAATGTCATTATTATTATTTGTATTATTATTATTATTTAAAAGAAGAAGAATGTATTTTTTATTATTTTGTCAGTCTGAATTATTTGTTGGTCATTGAAAGCCTTTCGTTACCGAACGCAGTCCGTGCGCACCTGCCGGGCCTAACCATGAAACGTCAGGGTAAAGCGCACAGGCTCGCAACTGAAGGAATACATATGCTTATAAATCAAATGCTTTGGTAAAGTCACACAAATTAAACATTGAAGTCCATGTTGCACAAAAATAAACACTGAAGTAAATAATTACTATGTTTTTGTTTTTTTGTTTTACAGTGGGTCATAATATATCATATCTTTTAGTTTGTCAGTGCATTTTATGGTGTTAGGAATTGTTTTTCTGCGCATTTCCGCACTAACTCAAAACGTGCGTACATGTACACCACCTCCTGAGCTGGCGTAGGATTTGAGCGTGCCATACGCCAACGTCCATATTGATAAATTTCAAAGTCACCGTGGTTTTGGGTGTACGCCAGGTGTACGCTGGAAATTTGGTGTACGCACTTTTGATAAATGAGGGCCATTGAGATTGGATGAATAAGGCTATGTTCAGACTGCAAGCAAATGTGGCCCAAATCCATTTTTTTTTGCTCATATGTGACTCACATCTTTTTTTTCATGGCAGTGTGAACAGCACAAACCACATCAAATCTGATCTTTTCAAGTCCGATTTGTGCCACTTCCATATGTGGTTCTAAATCCGATACAGGTCAGATGTATTGCAATGCGACCTCACTGAACAGTCAAATTGGAATTCATGCAACTTTTGCATCACTCTAGAGCAGAGGTGACCAAACTCGGTCCTGGAGCGCCACTGTCCAGCAGAGTTTAGCTCCAACTTGCCTCAAAACACCTTCCTGGAAGCCTTTAGTTTTGCTAGTAAGACCTTTATTAGCTGGTTCAGGTGTGGTTCTTTGGGGATGGAGCTGAACTCTGCAGGAAAGTGACCCTCCAGGAGCAGGATTGGACAGCCCTGCTCTAAAGCAACATTCGTCTCAATTCTGCACTCACAGGAGTCCCGACCCGAAGTTATCAAGACAGTTGGGAAAGGTAGTCAGTAATGGACAATGATGTGTCAGAAATCATAAGTATTACAGTGACAGCTTTGTGATACATACAAGCACAAATAAAGATGATACGGATTTGTGATACAAGCAAAACACAAATCATAAATGTTTAAAAACTCTGCTATGTTTTTTTCGACTTTGTGGCAGATCACACTATAAATAAACGCGTTATCACTTACTTTAATGTACTCAGTTTACTTCCCTATGACAGCGTGCTGCGTGACGTCTTTTATCGTTCTTTTGCGCATGCGGGTCAGTTCAGGACCATGATCGGTTCACACTGAAATATGATATTAGCCACATGGATCTCACGGATCTGAGCACTAAGGCTTTCATTGTGAACGTAGTCTAAGAAATGTGAAATGGGTTTTTGCATTACATTTAATTGTTTTTCTATGTAAACATGAGTTAGACAGACATCTTTGACCATTGCAGTGCTTTTTTCAGCATTTTGCACATGGGTTCCGTGCTTTTAAAATGCCTTGTCAAGTTTTGTTGTCAAACTTCTTGTCAGCATCTCGAGACTTCTTTTCCAATCTGCTGCGATATGTCTTGTTCCTTAGTTGCTATTAATACGTTAATGATTGTATGCGGTGTCTCTCTGTATTTGTCTTATTTCGAAGGCGGCGCCCTCTGGAGGTCGCATTTGTCAGCCACATGTGCCAGTGAGAAATCTAGACGCACCCTAGCGGCAGCAAAAATGATTTTGCAGCAAAGTGTGGTCTAGCAACTCTCCGTTGGCATTCGAGCTGGAAAAACCAAACTCTGGTCAGGCCAATCAGATCGTGTATAGAGTTGGTGGGCGGGCTTAACATAATGACGGCAGAGTTGACGGTTCCACGTGATTTCCCTCTGCTTGAAAACAAATGGCGCTTTTCCACTGCTGGTACGGCTCGGTTCGGCTCGGCTCGGTACGGTTCGACTCGGCGCGGAACGGTTCTGCTCGCTCGCTTCGCTTTTCCACTGCGTGGTACGACTCAACTCGGTACGGCACGGTTCGGTTCGCTTTAGCTCGGTTGCTTTTCCACCGCAGTTAGTACCCCTTCAAAGTGGGTGGGACTGATCGTTATTTTGTCCCTACACTGTTTGTAGGTCCGGTGATAGCCGTGTGCGGCTAAGAGCTGAGCTACTTCTTGGAACACTTTTTCAGTCCGTTTTGCCCCATCCAGCTCTCGCTGGATCCGCTCCTCGGCAACCAACGAGAGGAACGTCTGCACCTCGTCCACTGACCACGATTCAGCCATTTCTTTTTTAAAGTTTTGATCTCTTTTTTTTTTCCAAGAAAGTAAAAACAGATGCTACCGCGTTGGCTGTTGTCTACTGGTTATTTAAATCTAGCGGGTTTAGTGTCTCGTGTCGCAAATCCAATGACGCTGGTAGTGACGATTCTGTCTGACCAATCAGTGATCTGTTTTTACGTCACATTTTAGTACCGGTATGGTACGCTTGGAACCTCAACAGACCAGGTACCATTTAAAGCGAGCCGTACCGTACCGTACCATGCAGTGGAAAAGCACCACAAGTGAGCCGTACCGAACCGAACCGTACCGTACTTTGCAGTGGAAAAGCGCCAAAGCGTGCCGTACCGAAGCGAACCGTACCGTACAATGCAGTGGAAAAGCGCCAAAAGAAGATGCTGCTGGCGAACAGCAGTCTTTTGAAGCAACTCTGGAGGACTTTGAGTTAAGAGAACGTCACTTAAGTCATTCCTAAAAAAGGAAGATGTGTTCGGAGTTTTGACGACCGGATACGGCAAAAGTTTAATCAACTAGCTGGTTCACTGGTGGAAAAACGCATGGGGCTCACTCAGCCACAGCCGTTCGTTTCTCTGGTTGGTTGTAGCGCTGTCCTATTGCGTGCAGAGGGATTTTGAAAGACAACCGTTTATCCCGCCCCTCGGATTGAGGCATGCCATTGTGAGTTCCCAGACCTAACATCTTGATGTAGGTCTGGCTTGCCAGGCTAAGTGAGACTGCCTCATATTAGAAAATTACATTCACAAGTAAAAACAGGAATTACAATCATTTACTCCAGTTTATGTCATTTTTTAATGGTTACTTTTCAGAAATGAAACATCCCCTTATGACAGTTGGCAAATGTGACAGAGGGCACAGCCTTCAAAATGACACAAGTTTTATTTCGTGGCAGATTTTACTGTTCATCATGACAGTATTGTATTGTTCTTTCCAAAGCTGTCCTGAAATGTAAGAAATGTAGGCTTCTAGTGTCACAAGGCTGTAGGCAATTTGGGCTTTTCCCACTTATGTGTGAGACATGTGTCGTGTCAATTCCCTCAAGCCTTATGACTGATACACATTTTAATATTTGGACAAACAGTATTAATCTGTAATATATTGATCTATGTTACTAATTACTAACTGTACTTGTAAATATTTATGTTTCAAAATATGTGTTATTGACTGTAATGCCTATGTGTAAGGCTACTGATTAAATGTTTCAAAGCAATTTTTCCTGCTCATGTTATGTGAAAAGTCAGACTGCTTGAAATATTTAAATCACATCAAACTATCTGTTGTTTTGTCTTTTTCCGCTAACTAATGATTTTACACTAAACAGCTTGTTTTGGTAAATACATAGTCTGACCTGTACATTCCCACATTACAAGAAGCAGAGCTCAGATCACGTCGGCAGTTTAAATTAGAAAAATCAAATACTTACAAAAACAGGTCTACTTGAGTTTTTTTAAAAACCTGTGCATATGTTTTAGATTGAAACAATTAAATATTCTACTGATTTATAATATTTGATCAAATGTTACAATAAAAAAAATAAAAATAAGGCACATTGCAAGGCATAATTAATGCATTAAAAATAATTTTATAATGCATTATATATAAAGGCTTTAAGTAAAGTGTTACAGAATTAACAAATTAGTTGTTTTTCCCCAAAAAAACTATTTAATGAGCATTTAAACCAATTTAAGAGGAAGAGATGCAGTGAGGTTTGCTCTAAATAAACAGTAATTGTACACTTTAACATAAGGCAAATGACAAATCTCAAATTTCTATTTCTTTTTAAATTTTTTATCTATGTCTATACATTGTATGAACAAAAAATTTAATCAGCAACATGAAATAAATTATTATAACATTTTGAGATTCCAATTTGTCTACAAGAGCATGGACACACAAGTCATTTAACACTCTCTCCTTTGATCAACTAAAAAAAATAAAAAAAAATAAAGCTATTTGGCCAGTGATATTTTAGAATAAAATAAAAAGACTAAGAGAGAAGCTTCAGATAAAACAACATATATAAACATGCAGCCATTATACACATGCATATACAGTGTTGGAATGAAAACACTGAAAGACTGAACAGGTGGCATATGCTACACCTCGTGAACAAAACAGAGGGCGCCACTGTGTGGCAATTCTGGGAAAATGACCAACGCTGGGCATTTAATACAAACGCATTGCGAGGTTGAGGTAATCATTTTTTTTCCTCAGGAAATATATTTTTTGAGCCTGATAAACTTGTTTTCAGGATCTGCAATGTCAGAAATCATCTACAAAATAAAAAGGATAAATTCTTATAAAAGAAATACTTTCTTTTCTATCGTGTCTGAACATACCGAAAACATTCATAAAACATTTTTTGACATATTTAAGCAAACCTTACACACACACCTAGAGTAAAAACAAAAATGCATAATAATAATAATATAATTAATCTAAAATATATTTTTAAAATTACATACATCAGTATAATCAACATCCTTTAGCAAGTGCCTAAAAGTTAAATTTGTTCTTTTACCAGCATGTTGTAGTTCATCATACATTCAGTGACAGTTTATAGTGAATGTACAGTAGAAGTACAAAGTAGTACTGAAGTAGCTGAAAAGCTCCAGATAAGATCTTTCTTCTTGTGAAACGGCCATCGCTCTGTGCCAGCTGGCTGCAATTCGGCTCCACACATTTGTCCCAGTGTTGCACTTTTGTTTCTCAATTTGTTTTAATACAGCACAGGAGGAAAGTGGCTGTGTTTGCACATTCTGTACACGTGTCATATGTAAAAGAAGCTCTCTGTAGGTGTTTCGCCCGTGACTGTGGTCTGCGTTTGCATCAGCACCTGTGCATCTGTAGGAGTGGAGCATCCGTCATCAGGTGTCTCTGCATCTACCAACTGTTCTCCATCACTCAGGGCCAGTCCGCTTGCCTCGTCGTTGGCCCTGGACACTGTGTCTATGCTTGGCGACTCTGCCTGTTTGGGCTGTTTCTCAATGTCCTGCAGCAGCTCTTCATTGCACTGCTTCCACTGACGGAACTTCTGCGATGAGAACTCAGAATCATCTAGGATCTTGTTAATCAGGTGAAGCTCCGCCTCCTTCGCCTAAGAAACACAGGCAGCCAATGACAAATGTTGAGACCACTGTGTGCCTGACCTCCTCTACCTGGCTAATCATGTAGTACTGCATACTGTCCATCTATTATTCTTGACGTGAGTAGGAAATAATCCTAACAACAGTTCATGTTTGGTTGTGGTAGTGTGTGTGTGTGTGTGTGTGTGTGTGTGTGTGTGTGTGTGTGTGTGTGTGTGTGTGTGTGTATGTCAATTCATGTCTGACCTTGAGTGTGCTCTGGAGGGCACGGAGTGTGTGTATCTTCTCATTGATAACAGGGTTTTTGTTCCGTTTAATGAAGGATTTACGAAGCTGGTCGTGAGTTGTTGGCTGATTCTGACCAATCAGAGACACTCCTCCTTTCTTCAGGCTATGGAACATTTCATCCATCTCATCTAATTTTCCTGAGACAGAGATAATTTGTTTGTTTATCTTGACAAAGATATTAAGAAGCTGATAAGCTGATACAGTTCATGCTGATCCTTTACCTGCAATTTTACTGCCCCCTGCTTGTGAAATAGTTAATGGCTCTGACATCCTGTTCTGCTTACCCTTCGTTCGAGGAAGAGTGTTTGATTGAGTTTGGGTTTTCTGTTACAAAATAAAGAGGAAAATCTGTAAACCATTTTAATTTCCAAGGAAAAGTATACAGCACACAGTATTTTTCTAGTCTGGATAATGGAAAAATGTATAACAAGAAATGTTTCCATCTCCGAACCAGTATATGATTGTAATAAGAAATGTTTTCTGATCCCCAATCCAGCATATCAATGATTTCTGAGGGATCATGTGACACTGAAGGAGTAATGGCTGCCGAAAATTCAGCTTTGCCCTCACAGGAATAAATTACATTTTAAAATATATTTAAACAGAAAAGTTATATTAAATTGTAATAATATTTCACAATATTATTGTTTTTACAGTATTTTTGAAAATATGTAATTATTTTTTCCACACAAAAAATGAAATCATGCCGGTTTTGAACAACATGAGGTTGAGTAAATGGAATATTCTTTTAATTTTAGGTTTTATTTTATTCTTATTTGTTTTGTGTATGTATGTGAGGACTGCATGTACATGTCGATGTGTATTTGTGAGTGGGTGTGTCTGTGTTTATTCTCACCGTATTGAGTTTCTTACGATGAGAAAGTGGTGAACGTGATGATTCCTCCTCAGATTCGGTTTCACTGTAACAGTCTGACAACAGAAACATCATTCATGAATCCAGCACTGACAGATTTTTTTTAATAGAACACAACATAACAGAGAAAGGTTACAAATAAACTTGAAAGACAAGTAAAAAAAAAAAAAGTTGCAAATACACTTGAGGAATAAGGAAACAAACATAATATTCAGTAGAAGAAAGAAATATATATATAGAAAGGACATTATAATAAGTTACATAAGGTGACAATGGTATTACATGGTATATATTAGTTTACTGGAATGCAATAGGGAATCAGGCATTGGAGGAATGGAGACCAAACCCGGTTGAAGGCATCAAGTTTGGACTTTACGAATTCTATGCAAGAATTAAATCAAAATCCTCAATGACTGTATATTGAAAATTTTGCATAGAAACAGCATAAGTATTGGCATATATACCATGAAAAATGCGTTAACACATAATTTCCTACCTTCTTCACTGTCTGGCTGACTTTGGACATATTTCTTGTGTTTCTGAATGGCTGCAATTAGGCAATTAATCCATCTTTTTAGAGAGAGAGAGAGAGTGAGTGAGTGAGTTAGAGAGAGGGAGAGAGAGAACAAAAGCAGTCAAAAATACTGATTTATCAGTGATAAATTATCACCAATCCACATGTCTCACCATCACCAGTTTCCAATTTGCACCAGAAGTGATTTGTATTGTGTTGTATTGAACAGTAGAGGGCATAGGTGACGTGTGAGAGATCCTGCACGAATGATTATGTGTATGTGCTGTAGAAAAGAGCAATAATAGGCAGTTAAACATGAGGTGGGAGTGTTTAATAGGTTAAAGGCGTTGACATTCACATTATCTCCACATTGTCTCCAGTGCCGCAGACTGAGACTGTTGCTCTCTGTATCTGACTCTGAGTGTCAGCTGACTCACTGCTTTACTGCAGCTCCTCAAGTGCTGCTCAAGAGGTCAAAGTCATCAGATCAACCACTGCAACTTGGCAACAGAATATCTGATATACAATCGTGCCCGTAAATAATGGACATAAATGGCATAAATCTCTTCAGATGAGACCAAGTCACCTGATTGGTCTAATATTATCCTCTGGCAAATGAGTGGGGGAATGATACATGATAGTTAATATAACTGCCCAAGGTTCTCTCCAGAACATCATATCATCGGCTCTATTATTAGAGGTATGAAGCACCTAAGCTTGACTGGTCATTGGACAAATCATGCAGTGTAAAAGAGAGCACCAATCTGTAGTGCTATTACATAAGATTCTCAGCCCTGAATCACTGCAGAGGTGTCATGCAGTGGCTGTTGAATTATCTGATCAATGAAAACTAAACTAAAAAGTTTTCACAAAATGTGTTTTTAAAGAACAAATACAAGCTTTTTCCGCTTATTCGCTGTATTATTTTAAATTATATTAATGGTGAAACGTGGAATTTCAGGTTTCCAAACATGTTTCCCAAAAAATCCTACTGTCTCTTTCGCCCTGTTTAAAATGCAAAATTCTATGTCAAGAAATGTTTTATTTATTAGTGTTATGCTAAGCTAGTAGACTAAGTTGTTTGCTTGTAACCCAAATATTTGTTTTACCATTTTTTAGCCTCAGTGATATATAGGTGATATGCAATTAAAGATATTAATTAAGATTAAGATCAATTCTGCTAGATTGTGACAGTCAACTGCGCAAGAATTCAGAACCGACCCACAAGATTGCATATTTTTTAAATCAATAAAACAGCGCAGAGAGTGTACCAATCAATTCAGCTGTCAGTATGCAATTAGCATATGCGTGTAATTTGTTTTGAATTCCCCACTCAGTGTTTACACTTTTTGTTAAGTCAACCTCTGAATTACTTATTACACTTGGCTATGAGCATTAAACTTAAAAAAATTATTTTCACATCACAGAAGTAACAATCCCACCTTTAAAAATACAATTTCGTTGCATCTAACACATCTATACTGAACAAAATTATAAACACAACACTTTAGTTTTTGCCCCCACAATAAAAGGCCACTCTAAAATGTGCAGTTTTATCACACAACACAATGCCACAGATGTCGCAAGTTTTGAGGGAGCGTGCAATTGGCATGCTGACTGCAGGAATGTCCACTAGAGCTGTTGCCCATGAATTGAATGTTTATTTCTCTAGCATAAGCCGTCTTTAAAGGCGTTTCAGAGAATTTGGCAGTACATCACAACCGCAGACCACATGTAACCACACCAGCCCAGGACCTCCACATCCAGCACCTTCACCTCCAAGATCGTCTGAGACCAGCCACCCGGACAGCTGCTGCAACAATCCGTTTGCATAACCAAACAATTTCTGCACAAACTGTCAGAAACCGTCTCAGGGAAGCTCATCTGCATGCTCGTCGTCCTCATCGGGGTCTCGACCTGACTGCAGTTCGTCGTCGTAACCGACTTGAGTGGGCAAATGCTCACATTCGATGGCATCTGGCACTTTGGTGAGGTGTTCTCTTCACGGATGAATACGGTTTTCACTGTACAGGGCAGATGGCAGACAGCGTGTATGGCGTCATGTGGGTGAGCGGTTTGCTGATGTCAACGTTGTGGATCGAGTGGCCCATGGTGGGGTTATGGTATGGGCAGGCGTATATTATGGACAACGAACACAGGTGCATTTTATTGATGCCATTTTGAATGCACAGAGATACGTGACGAGATCCTGAGGCCCATTGTTGTGCCATTCATCCACTACCATCACCTCATGTTGCAGCATGATAATGCACGGCCCCATGTTGCAAGGATCTGTACACAATTCCTGGAAGCTGAAAACATCCCAGTTCTTGCATGGCCAGCATACTTACCGGACATGTCACCCATTGAGCATGTTTGGGATGCTCTGGATAGGCGTATACGACAGCGTCCTGGTCCTGCCAATATCCAGCAACTTCGCACAGCCATTGAAGAGGAGTGGACCACCATTCCACATGCCACAATCAACAACCTGATCAACTCTATGCAAAGGAGATGTGTTGCACTGCGTGAGGCAAATGGTGGTCACACCAAATACTGATCCCCCACCCCCACAATACAGTAAAACTGCACATTTTAGAGTGGCCTTTTATTGTGGCCAGCCTAAGGCACACCTGTGCAATAATCATGCTGTCTAATCAGCATCTTGATATGCCACACCTGTGAGGTGGATGGATTATCTCGGCAAAGGAGAAGTGCTCACTAACACAGATTTAGACGGATATGTGAACAATATTTGAAAGAAATAGGCCTTTTGTGTACATAGAAAAAGTCTTAGATCTTTGAGTTCAGCTCATGAAAAATGGGGGCAAAAACAAAAGTATTGCGTTTATAATTTTGTTCAGTGTATTTAAATTCAAAGATCAAAGCACAGTCATTTGCACATGAATATAAACTGCAGGTGCACAGCAAGATCTAATCATTGTGACATTTCACTACTCAATGATTTTTTACAAAATGCTCTCTAAGACATAACTGTCGTTTAGAGAAAATGCTTGTTTATATGCAGCCAGACTCACTTGCTCATGTCGTTTACATTATCAGCAGCGAAGAAAAAATTCTGGAAGCGCTGGTGGCGCATTTTAAATACACTAGGAGAAAAAGAGAAAGAGATCAGATGATAATAACCATTCATCTTAGGGCAGAAGCTTTAGCAGTTTAATGAAAACTCATTTGTCATCATGGTGGCAGGTTGTGCTGTACAGTGTATGTGGATTGCGGGGGAAGATCTGAGGAATGTAAAGTGTAATTTTGTTATTCACACATCTCCGGCTAACTGCCCTCCTGTGCCAGATACTCTCACTCTCACAGCCAAACACAGAGTCCGAGGAGCCAGGCGACTTCTGTTTCTTTATGACAGTGTGAACACAAACAATCACGCTGAACGGGGTTTAATGTTGTTAAGTCAATAGATATGCTTTCCTTCAAATTTGATTCAGCAGCAAATAATGAATGGGTAAACCACTGCCAGCATGTTTTGTATAGTGCAGAAGATACTCACTACTTCCTCTTGTGTTCTCCTGCGCTCTCTATATTGTAGCTGCCGATCTTGATTAAGCCCTCCGCCTTCTCCTCCTGCACAAAGAAAAGGGTTCAATAATTATTTTAAGTACATCTAAATTAACTGATTTTGTACAAAATATTAAAATTCTGTCTGATACCGATAAACTGATAACTAGTGTAATTTAGTGGGCGATAATAAAATTCTACACCATTTTGTCTCAGCAAATTAAAGGGATAGATAGTTCCCCAAAAATGATATTTTGTCTTAATTTACTCACTCCCATGTCCTTGCAAACCTGTATACATTTCTTTCTTCTACAGAACATACAAGTAGATATTTTGAAGAATGCTGGTAAACAGTTTTGGTTCCCAGTGACTTCCATTGTGTGTGTGTGTGTGTTGGGGGGTTCAATGGAAGTCAATGGGAACCGAAACAGTTTTTTTTATACCAATATTCTTCAAATTATCTTATTTAATGTTCCATAGAAGAAAGAACCTCATAAAGTTTTAGAATGACATGAGAGTGAGTAAACGACAGCATTCTCATTTTTCCCTTTAATAACAAAACTGTTGAAAATAAATTTACAATTTTTAAATGCAACAAGTTAATGTTGGCATCACAACATTATAATGTACAGTAGGAAGAATGAATATTCAGATTATATTTAACACTGTTATTAAAGACAATTATATCCAATATTGGCTAAATAATTTTTTTTTTTTTAAAACCTCTAATATCGTCCAATATTGTGCATCCCTTGTAAAGATGAAAACACTTTCAAGGAGAGTTTAGTTTTACAAAAATTTTTTAATATAATATTTTGTGTTTATAAAGTGCCAATTTGTGTATCCACTTGTAAGTTTACTTGTAATTCAACCACTTTACAAGTAAACTCGTACTAACCTGTTGGCTGGTATACCAATACAGCGTAGGACCTTTCAGGACGAACCAAAATCTCTGCCATTTCTGAGTCATGAAGACATTTGCTTCTTTTCTCTTCTTCCAGAGCCAACCGTCACAGTCAGGCCGGCCAAGTTCACGACAGGACACCCTCCTCCGGCTCATCGCTGTCCGTGTTCCTTATGTATACATACGAATCAGGTAAGATTTATTATTTTGCAATAGATGAAATTAGATGTTCTAGAAAAATAAAAATAAAAATAGTGAATGAACAAATCCATGCCTGACCTTTAGTAGAGACCTTCTTGTTCTCCTTTTCTTCCTGTGGTTAGAAGAAATGTAGCATTATTCTGAGATCACATGGTTCAAAGAACATCAACTTCTGCTGATGTCATCCCAGTTACCGCATTAAAACACTTTATTGTGAGATGCCACAGCAGATGCTTCTCAATGACTCACGATGCACTCGAGTGTACCATACTCAAGGGCACAAGGGTGACAAATCATTATAGTATCTCTCCAAAATGCATCTTGCTCTTTAACAAGGAGAAGGAACAAAGTGTACTGAATTGGATGTCACACCAAATTAATGTATTTTTAGTGTTCTTACTCTTAGTCCTGCCATGTCAGGACAGGAGCTGGTGCTGGCTCGTTTGAGCTCCTGGTCTTGTGGGGACGGACTTCTTCTTGCAGATGAACTGACTTCCAAACTGTTTCGACTCGCACGCTGAGAGTCTATAAGTGTGAAGACAGAATTATATTTATCTTATAGAGCTTATAAGCTGCAGATGCAGCTTTAAATGTATAGTCTACAAACTAAGGAACAAGTATACATGCTCAGCAACACAGAACCAATGAAACTATGGCCGTTGAAAAGACTACCTTTAAGTAACATGAATTATAGAGCTGTTTCAGCCTGGCTTATGCTGTTTACTGGTAGTTTAGCTGGTAGAGCCATGCTGTTGACTAGAAAAATATAGCTGATGAACAATAGTTGGGACAATTTTCTATTTTATATAGAGGTTCTGTATCTGGAACCATTTCTAATAATTATGTTTTTTATTATCTCTGATATCTAAAAAGATTTACTAACCTACCTCTGTTCGGTTATAATATTTATCTCAGCCTTGTTGTTTGTGTATAATGTGAAAAGTTTGCCATGATCATGTTAAATCAAAGCTACCGAAAGTTTTCTATTTGAATATATTTTAAAATGTAATTTATTCCTGTGATGTTAAGCTGAATTTCCAGCATCATTACTCCACTCTTTAGTGTCACATGATCCTTCAGAAATCATTCTAAAATTCTGATTTGGTGCTCAAGAAACATGCAGTCACTTTTGATCAATTTAATGAGTCCTTGTAGCCTGGGTTTCCCCATACTGCCTTTGCGCAGCGCGATTTTATTCACGCTGCTAGGCAGTCTGGATACCACGGACCAAATTTTCGCCTCAGCGAGGGGACCAATCACAGAACGGGGAGGGAGCAGCAAGATGATGACGGCGTCTATGCGACACACCGAAGCAGTTTGTTTATACCTATGGATCAAACATGGCAGCAGACGCGAAGTTACCTTTCGATGCAGCCTTAGATATTGTTCTAAGTAGTTTAGAACTCAAATAAATCTCTGACCCATCGTCTTCTTCCTCGTCTAATTTTTGTCGCTCTACATACGTCTGCTGGTATAATTGAAACAATTGGCTATGAGCTAGGTACAGGCGAATTTGATAGACATTCGTAGCACCCAATAAACGGCTCTGGGCATTCGTAAACCACGCCTCAAATACGAGAAAATGAACATGTGGTTCCCAGACCACGTCTCAATGTTGAATCAGTTATTTGACATTGAGACGTGGTCTGACGTTAGCCAGGCTAGAGTCCTTGCTAAATTATAGTATTTAAAAAAAAAATGTACAGGAGCCAAACTTTTGAACGACAGTGTACGTGAAGCGAACTGTACATATTATGAATTGTGATGTCTGTGAAACATTTTATTTATTACTTCTGGGTGGACAAAATATAAAAAATCTGCATACATTATGGGGGCTGATGTCTTCATTGTTTTTTGTTCAATCTGCAGTGACTTTTACCTGCCCCTGGCTGGTGGCGTTTTAAGGTGATTGACTGATGTTCATCAGAGCTTTGATCACTAGAGTGCGCCGATTTTTCCCGTTTGAAATGTGTGCCGTCTGATGCTGATCTATGGCACATAAACACACACACACACACAAACTATATGATTGCATATGACACACACAAAAAAAAATCTAAAAACATTAATCTAAGTGGCCCTTTGCAATGCTATTATACAGATGCAGCTTTAATGCTATGAAAGCTGACCCAAACGCACACATACTATAGTTTAGCCATGCTGTACACACACACACACACAGACAGAGAGACCTGAGATAGCGGAGTGCTCGTATGTCCTCACAGTAGCTTACAGAAAAGAGTTATGAAACAAGAATTTAGTTTATGAAACACACAGGCTGAGGAATGGAGACTTTCACTTCTTATACAATTAACTGAATACATGACATTAACTAACCACATATGTATTATCTTATAGCTGTATATTACTGCTGTATGGAAATTACTTTGAGACACTCATCTCTGGCTGATAACAGAAAACTTCTTAAATTGTAACACTGAAACAAGCATTTTCTGTAAAGCTGTTTTAGAAACAATCCCCCAGTTTCACAGACGAGGCTTAAGTCTAGTCCCAAACTAAAATGCATGTTTGAGCTGTTTTAACTGAAAGCAACTTGCAATAACATATCTTAAAATATGTCAATGTCATTGTTTTGTCTCAAGATGCACACCAGTGATGTTTCTTTCTAAGGCACGTTTATAAAAACGACTTAAATCTCCTAATTGAACAAAGGCCTAATCCTGGTTTAATCAAAACCCTGTCTGTGAAACCAGGCCAATATGTATTGTGAAAAGTGATTTACAAATAAACTTGAATTGAATTGAATTAAATTGAATACACAGTAAGTTTGCTGTAAAATGAAAAATAATAGAAAACACAGAATCCGTGGTAAGCATCATGGGTTATCTGAGAGAAGCAGACAAAACTATCCTATTACAGTATGTCCTACCACATTGTAAAACCTATAGCTACTATAAATTATTCACCTCAATGTTTGAACAACAAACATCATATGGGACACTTGAAATGGTTCTATAGACCCTGAAATCATGCAGCATATAGTGATTATAGGAGTGTCAGAGGAAATTCAGCATCAGAAACAGCAGCATATAGTGATTATAGGAGCGTCAGAGGAAATTCAGCATCAGAAACAGCAGCATATAGTGATTATAGGAGCGTCAGAGGAAATTCAGCATCAGAAACAGAAGCATATAGTGATTATAGGAGCGTCAAAGGAAATTCAGCATCAGAAACAGCAGCATATAGTGATTATAGGAGCGTCAGAGGAAATTCAGCATCAGAAACAGCAGCATATAGTGATTATAGGAGCGTCAAAGGAAATTCAGCATCAGAAACAGCAGCATATAGTGATTATAGGAGCGTCAGAGGAAATTCAGCATCAGAAACAGCAGCATATAGTTATTATAGGAGCGTCAGAGGAAATTCAGCATCAGAAACAGCAGCGTATAGTGATTATAGGAGCGTCAAAGGAAATTCAGCATCAGAAACAGCAGCATATAGTGATTATAGGAGCGTCAGAGGAAATTCAGCATCAGAAACAGCAGCGTATAGTGATTATAGGAGCGTCAAAGGAAATTCAGCATCAGAAACAGCAGCATATAGTGATTATAGGAGCGTCAGAGGAAATTCAGCATCAGAAACAGCAGCGTATAGTGATTATAGGAGCGTCAAAGGAAATTCAGCATCAGAAACAGCAGCGTATAGTGATTATAGGAGCGTCAGAGGAAATTCAGCATCAGAAACAGCAGCATATAGTGATTAGGAGCGTCAGAGGAAATTCAGCATCAGAAACAGCAGCATATAGTGATTATAGGAGCGTCAGAGGAAATTCAGCATCAGAAACAGCAGTATATAGAGAATATAGGAGCATCAGAGGAAATTCAGCATCAGAAACAGCAGCATATAGTGATTATAGGAGTGTCAGAGGAAATTCAGCTGAGACAGCCGAACTCACCTGAAGGACAGAGAACGGACTGAAGCTGCCACCCTCCCAAAAAGAGAATGTCTGTTTTTCTCTTCCTCTTCTTCCTCTTCCTCCTCTCTCTGAAAGTAAAGAATCGATGAGATCCACATTTGGAAAAACCCAATGTCACCTCAGAGAGTGACTCCTCTCATGTGGCAAGTGTTTTTTATTGTGGCGAGACATGCAGATGTGTGATAATGAGTTCATGTGTACGTTCATGTCTTGTGAATGATCATGGTTAGTTTGTGGCATGCATTAGTACATTTATGTGTCCATTTCCAGTTAGACTGTGCTAGTGCCTGTGTTTGTGTGTGGGTTTATATATTTTTTATTGTGACATTATTCATATTGCGATCATACAATTAACATGTCAGAGTAGACACAATATATTTCTTTTTTCCCCCTTTTTCCCCCTTTTTTCCCTTCCCCTCCTTTACACCCCAGTGAATTGAAAGAAAAAAAAGAAAGAAAAAAGAAAAAAAAGAAAAAAAAGAATTAACCTATAACGGAAATGTATACGTATACATTCACACATACATACCCACGCACATATACACATATACATACATACGAACTCATACACCCATACATGTGTGTGGCTTTATAAAGCAATACTTTGAGGACAAAATTGTTCAGAGAAATCATTATTATTATTTTAATTCTAAAAATGCAAAAGCTTACTTTTAGCTTTAGGCTTCATAAAAACAATAGATGTCTGTGTGTCCTTATTTAAAAGTCTAAGTGTTGGGGTTATTATTGCTAACTAGAACAAAAAGTAAAACCATAAAAAAAGTATTACTTGAAATAAAATAAACATTAACAGAAATAAAATCAATTATAAAAAAGAATTGCTGTCAAGGCAACATTTCTATTTTTGTTTAGGATGACGTACTAAAATAAAACTTTCTTTTACTCAAATTCTTAAAATGAAAACATTAATAAAACTAAAACTATAATAGTACACAAATTATAATAAATTAACACTGGAATGTGTTTGATAGCTCATAAAGTGATTGTGTCCGGATTCATCAGTAAGTAATGGGTCTGGTAAGAATGTGTGCATTTGTCTGAGCTCTTTGTGTAGCCCTGAGGATCAGTCAGGGTAACCAACAGACCCAATCATTGTAAAAGCCACATGACTGCTACATCACACACCGCTTCAGAAAATTAACTTTTTTAATTTGACTGGAAATACACACATACTAGATCAAACATCAAGGAGAACATCTCTCTCTCTCTCTCTCTCTCTCTCTCTCTCTCTCTCTCTCTCTCTCTCTCTCTCTCTCTCTCTCTCTCTCTCTCTCTCTCTCTCTCTCTCTCTCTCTCTCTCTCTCTCTCTCTCTCTCTCTCTCTCTCTCTCTCTCTCTCTCTCTCTCTCTCTCTCTCTCTCTCTCTCTCTCTCTCTCTCTCTCTCTCTCTCTCTCTCTCTCTCTCTCTCTCTCTCTCTCTCTCTCTCTCTATATATATATATATATATATATATATATATGAATAGAATGTTCAAAAGAACAGCATTTATTTGAAATCAAAATCTTTTGTAACGTTAAAAGAGTTTTTACTGTCACTTTTCTATCGATTTAATGCATCCTTGCTAAATAAAAGTATATCAAAAAAATTGTTTTAATCTTATTGACCCCAAACTTTTGAATAATAGTCATCCAACCTGTATGAGTATGAGTGTGTGTGTGTGTGCCATATGAGTGTGTGTGTGTGTGTGTGTGTGTGTGTGTGTGTGTGTGTGTGTGTGTGTGTGTGTGTGTGTGTGTGTGTGTGTGTGTGTAATATCAGGAGGGTAGGAAGTGGGTACTGGAGGGTAGGAAGTAACTGCTGTCATGACGATGCACTCAATAAACAAGTTCAAATGAAAATCCGATTGTTTCTTTCATTTGAAACCGTTTATTGTAAGTGTGTATGTGTGAGAGAATGTGTATTCATTGCAGTGTCACAAAGAGGAAATGTGCTCATCGAACAAACACAACCACGTGTGACGTGTGAACATGTGATGTCAATAAATCTGTTGCAAAGCAACCACTAAAAGAATCAACAGTGTAAAACGCTGGCAGCACCTCATATGAGACTCATGTGTTCATTTCAAGCTTATTATTAACACAGTCAAAACACATTCAGTTTTTGTTCAGACAAACAGCAATACCAAATGAATGCAATACAAAAAAAAAAAAAATGTTTATAAAACCCGATCCAAATCACATTCGTAATTGGTTTGAAATCTGTTTGTTTTTTAAATGTTTGTCGTTAAAACTACCTGAATGCCAGGTAGTTTATCTCATCATTTCACTTTTTATGTCATAACAATGTTTTTTTATGTTAAAAATTCAACTTTTTATGTCATAATTATGATTTGGGTTCAGTCCTAAAGATCGGATTTGATAACCAAATCAAATATGAGTCCAGTGTGAACAAAGCTGGGTTTCACTTTATTTTGATGGTCCCTTTAACACATTCTGTTGACTATAAGTAACGTTGCAGTGCACCTACATGTTTACTAACTCTTATTAGTTTGTTAGTTGAGTATTAATAGACTGGTAGGGTTAGGCTTAGATTAAGTTGACATGTAGTTGCAAAGTTACTTATAGTCAGTAGAGTGTCTGTTGGAGGACCATCACAACAAAAGAGTTAGCAGATATTGAGCAGACAGTCTACTAATAGTCTAATGAGAGTTAGTTGATATATAGTTACAAAGGTACTTATAGTCAACTGCACGTTCAAAAAGGACCATCAAAATAAAGTGTTACCCAAAGCTGAAACAACCCTAAAGGATTTAAAAAACTGATTCCAGAGTCATTGAGCTAAACTGCCAGTTTAAAATTAGTATTTTAATGTATGTATGCATTTATAGTAAAAGGATGAGCCTGTAGTACCTCAGACTTTGCTCGGCTCTCTTTGCGTTTCAGGAAACCTGGAAGCCTCCTCAAAACCAGAGTTACTCCATTTGGATTCTCCTCCAGTTTTTTAACAAGGTTTGTCCTGCTCCAGCCAACCTGGAATTAAATTTATCATTTACAATGCGTTAAATATATGTATATTTGCATCCAAAATGGAGGTTCTTTTGCACCGAATGCTTGATGCGGCACCTTTCTATGGGTTATTTTCAGAAAACTGTGCTAGATTTATTTATTCATTTCATTTGAAAAAGTTAAACCTTTTTCAAAACATTTTGCCAACCTTGTTACATTCAGAATGTTTCAGTGTTTAACATCAAGAAGCATCAACGTTTGTCTTTCTTCTAGTGTGCCTATCAGTAATAATAGGGCATTGGGCCACAAAATAACGATAATCCAATTTATTGGACAAAAGACATCTGCTCAAATCCAGCGGGCAGGTCATCAAATGGACGGACGAGTCTCACTGTGCTAACCCAGGGTTCAGCCCCTCTCCTTAAAACCCTGTCAAATTTCCTTCCTTACAGAAGTCTTTATGTAAATAACATTTTACTATTATTTAGTACAGTTATCATTAGCATTGAACAGTTCCTACTTACTACTATCTGTCCGTTGACCTGAATGACCTCATCTCCCGCTAAAATCTTCTCACAGATCTCTGTAGAAGACTGTAACACAAGGATTTATGATTATGTACAACAGAAGATGTACAACAGAGTATATCAGTACCAAAAATTGCAATGGCGTTGAAGGAATCACCCACAAACAGAAGCATCATGCCCATTCAACCTGACAAGTGCCGCTTTTGAAACCAAGTGCATTTAGTATGTAAAAAAAATCAACATCTTTAAGGTTGGATGACTAATTATTTTAAATAATAGTGTAGGTTAAAAACTGTTTAACTTAAAGTTGAGTGAGTGAGTGATTAAATGTGCCTCTTTTCTGAATCCAATATATTTAAATGAAACTAAAGAAAATGACATAACTCCCCTCTTTCCCCATTTCTGACCATAAGGCAGTTTAATTTGAAGCATAGTTTTCTCTTATTATATAGGAAAGAAAAATTACCCAAAAAAATTCAAACTCAAAATTCTCATTTTAAGACAACTTTTAAACTAGCCCACTTTTTTACAAGAAGGAAATTAAGATTTCAGTCACACTGTTCTGAGAGTCAAGTTTGACTGACATACTGTATGTGTCGATTAATTTACGGGATCATTGACAGCAAACTTCAAAAACACCCTCACGTATCTCCCAGCAGACAATTCAAGGGGTGATTTAAGTTCGTATTTGCTAGAAAAACACGAATTTTCTACCTAAACAAATGAAATGATACTTTTCCATCTTCCAAAATATATGAAGCGCTGGGGTACCGTCAACCTGTCCTACCTCAGCTGCTGTTCCAGTGACAAAATGATTTCTGGATCCTGTGGTGGTGATCTCAATTCCCTATGTAAAAAGAAATAATGTGCATATCAAGCCAAGATTATCTTAGACCTCAGCTGAACTATAATTCAATGGCTTATATAAAAGAGATGAAAATCCGGGCTGCTAATTGGTCTGTGAACCCTGCAGATTCGCTATAATATTTAGCCTTCCTGCCATCTAGATCAGCGAGCATTATGGAAAGAAATTCAAAGGGAGAACTGAGGGAGCTTGTTCAAATCGGCACTGGTCAATGAATTGACTGCAGCATCAGATGTTAGACAAAGTCCGATCTAAATAGTATTGATTCTGCTGAAAATGTGCTGTAAGTACAGAGACCTCCTGCTTAAGAGACAATGAACCAGGGGGGTCCAGCCTCTATTATCTGTCAGATCAATAATAATCAATTATTATATTAAGTCCAATTATTATATTCTCTGACTCTTGTTTCTCCAAAGCATGCAGGCCAAATGTATCAAAATATGGACCTAATGAGTCTTCCAACAATATTGCTCCTGGAAACAGCAGAGGCAGGTCTGTCTTGGCAAGAATCACAAGACAGACATACCTTTGATATTAAAGTACAATGTACTAAACAGTGTAAAAAAAAAGAAGTGTTATTTGATTTCCTCAAATGGTTTGTGGATGACTGCCAATATAATCATGCATGTTGCATTGCGTGTTTGTGTCTGATATGAAGACACACACAACATAAATGCCCAAAATTAAATTAAAATACGTCAAACATGACAAAAGACTATGTGAGCCTTTATAACTAATCAAGTTTCTCAGAGTATGGCTGTTCTTAATTGAACTGGGGCAAATTTAAACCAATTATACTATTTTTAATTGCACAATATCAGACACCTCACAGAAAAGCTTCTCTTTTGTGGAGCTGCTTAGTGTTGTTAATGTACAGAAAGGAAGAGCTTTACATAATTAAACAACATTTTAGCAGCATATTAGCTGAATATAATACAAAGTGCAAGGACTGTCTGAGTAGAAATGATTGATTAACACGGTTTAATGAAAGAGACAAAACAGCCAGAGTGCAGAAAGAAGATGCAATTGGTTTAAACTCCATCTGTACCTCTATACTAAGCATGGTTAGTTCTTTAACATTTGCCAAACTAAGAAATAAATGTAAAAGCACCAAAGTATCTAAATAAATTATAAATCTAGAAAATTACTTTTACTGCTGAAAGCCAGAGAAATACAGGGAAGCGAACTGGACAACATAGAGGATGAAACAGAGAATGAATGAACTACTGTAAATAATTTGAGTTATAAATGATACGATGCATTACCACGTGATCTCCTGGTGAGGCAGGGACCAGTTCAACACTCTCCAGCTGTGCAGTATGGGTAAGAAGAGTAAATGGACTAACGGTCAAAACCTCATCACACACTGCTACCAACTGACGACACTAGACAAAAAGACAGAAAAAGAAAAACACGTCAGTTTAACATCTCTTCTAAAGTAATGAATATAATGCTACATATAATTGGATTTCAGTAGAGATATATTTTCATGTCACAAAGTACACTACCGTCTAAAATTTGGGGTCAGTAATTAATACTTTTATTCAGCAAGGACACATTAAATTGATCAACAGTGACAGACATTTATAATGTTACAAAAGATTTCTATTTCAAATAAATGCTGTTTCGTTTAAACCTTTTACAGTATTCAAAGAATCCTAAAATAATATATCATGGTTTCTTTGGTAAGCATAAGAGACTTTCAAAAACATAAAAATACATCACGACCCCAAACTTTTAAACAACAGTGTAAGTGTATTGTAAATATAATACATTTATATAATATAATATAATATTATAATATAAATACATAAATACAATATTAAAAGGAATGTCCCAGGCTCAATACAAGTTAAGCCTTATCAACAGCATCTGTGACGCTTGATTAGAACAGTAAATAACTATATCTTCAACTATACCACATTTTTAAAAGTGCTGTAACAAAAATACAAGATGCACATTTGCTCTTTCATTGTACGCTCATTACACTAAACTATTTTTTTGAGTGAAAATTACTTTCTGTGGTAAATTAAAGCATACCACAGAATCTGAAGTGTGTCATTTCTGTGCCACTACCATTCACATGATCACTATAATATGCATTACATTTGTAAACAAACAACAATATAAAGATATATTTATTAAAATATTTAAAGTAGGGCTGTCAAAACTATTAATTGCGATTAATTGCATATAACATAAACGTTTGTGTTTACACACACACACACACGTATGTGTATATATATATATATATATATATATATATGTATGTACACACACATATATT